AATTGAAAAATTAATTAAAAATTAAATCTTTTTAAAATTACATTAAATTTTAAGAAATGTTTAAAAAATCTTCGATACTATTTTTGTAGTTATTGCCGATATTACACATTATAAAAATATATCTTTTTGACTTTGAGTAGTTTGACGTTAGATGATATGATTGACATGATTAAAATTACTGCAAGATACTTGCTAATTTGTTGATAATTCACCGATATTTGAATTTTATTTGAATTTTTTAACTTGTCGTTGAAAAATGTATTAATATTTTTCGTAGTATATATGCATTCCAACTATTTGTCAAAGCTTTTTTTCTAATCTTCTTCCGAAACCTTCAAAACATGATTTTTAAATGCAAAAACGACTTCATTGTTACTTTCGCTGACAAAAAACGTTGTCCACGTAATTTATTCTTGACGTTCGATCACAAGAAGAGGTCATTGGGTGCCAAATCAGGATTGTACGGCGGATGACACATCAATTCGATTTATTTAATTTTCAAATAGTCGGTTTTTTGATGAGATGTGTGAGCACACGCATTGTCTTGATGGAAAATGATTCGAAGCCGGTTGTTTATTTTCCGTATTTCACTTTAGATTTATGGTAAACAAATGATTGTGTCTTCTTCTTCTAGGTGCCTTGTCCGCTTCTAACGTTGGCTATATTATTGCTTTTTAACTTTATCTACAGCTTCTCAAAAAAGCGATCTTGTACTTTTATTGAACCATTGACGTAAATTCTTCAGCCATGATATCTTTCGTCTCTCAGGGCTACGTCTACCTTTAATTCTGCCTTCAATGATTAATTTCAGTAGTCCGTACTTTTCGAAATGCCTCAGAATATGACTAAAAAAACTCCAACTTATGGCGTTTTACTGTGTCCAAAATTTCTGTCTCCTTGTGAAAGTACCACTGTATTTGTAATTTTTTCTGTCCAGCTTATTTTTAGCATACGTCGATAGCACCACATTTCAAAAGCCTCGAGCTTATTCATCGATGCAACAGACAGCGTCTAGGTCTCTGTCTCGTAGAGGAGTATAGTGAATGAAAAATTGAGAATGATTGTATACAATTCGGAATTGACCGTTTTACGTTCTTGTAATGGTACTCGTATAGTTGCCATAAGACCAGTTTTTCCGAAAAAACAAGCGATCATTTGTTTCGAAGTGCTTCGAGCGTGAACAACTTTTGTTGGATTTTGTTAAATTTTGGTAACGCGAATTGATTATGCGATTTGTCATAACTGACTTTTTTTATGGGGTTACGTATTGGATTTTCGAAAGTGAGGTGTATGTTGAAAAGTTATCGAAAATTTCCTTAAAAAAGGGTCTAGTATCGTAATATATCTGTTTGCGTACATTTGAATGATATTATATTTCTCTATCTCTCACACAAAGCTTCAATGTACATTGAAAGCAATTTTACATTTATCGTGACCATGACTGCCTGTATAACATCGTCCTGACGTCATTGATGCTGCTTCTTAGGAAAATGTCCTTTCCAAAAGTTTATTTCTAAATATAATTCCAAACATTTTGTATTTAAATTTTTTTTTTAAAGTGATTATAAATCAAACTTT